CCCGTGTCTGAGCTATGACGTGAAAATTGTCCCGAAGCCATACATAAGTTGGGGCCGTTGGGCTCGGGCTGAAATGCAGGGCTCTAAAGCGCAGCTTGTTGCATTTAAGCAGCAAAAATACACACAAAATGACACCAAAATGGCCACCCTGGCCACACAGTTAAATAAATGATAATATTCAGTGATGTGAAATGTGGAGTAACGTCTGGCGCAGTTGCAGCTTGTACTTATTACTAAAACAAAAAAGCAAACGAGTAGCATTAATAGTCATTAATTTTAGTTAACATATGCTATGATAATTTGAACAGATTTTTATTCTTCTTGTAAAATAATGGAACATTTAGATCATGAATATTGTCTCAAAAGTCATGGAAAAGTCATGGAAATGTATTGGTAAAAATGTGTACGAACCCTGATACTCCATTTGAGGATTTATGTGAATGCAGGCGGTCGACACATTCGCTCTAGAAAGCTTCATCTTTGTCCAGTGTCTGTGCTATTTTTTTCCCCTGACATTGACCGATAAAACATTTTTTGTACACTTTTAAACAAAAATTGCTGTTATTTCATAACCCTCTTGCACAATGTGGCCATCTGTTGTTGCATCCTCCGGTATTTTGTTTCTTTGTAGTTTTCGTTTTCTACTGTGAAACTATGGCCCAGGCCAGTGCTGCCACCTTGTGGAACAACTGATTAGTGCAAAACAAATTCAGTGCACATGTGCGGTTACAAAAATCGGATGGTGCGCATGGTGACGAAATTTGCTTCACTTGCACTGTTCGTGGACACATAAAAACAGAAGTATACTTTGGTCTTAACTATAGCATAGATGCCAATATTAGCTCCAAAGTAAATTTTTAGTTAAGCATGATAAACAGTGTGCCTCAATATCCGACCATTTTGGGATTGCAAATGACCAGAATGTCAGTTTCAAATTTGACTCACAGCCTAGTTTAGTAAAAAATTGTAAACCTGTTAAGAGGAACACAATTAACAGGATAGTTCAGCCAAAAATTTAAAGGGGTCCTATTATGCTTTTTCACTTTTTAAATTTTAGTCCGTGTGTATGTTTGGGCATAAAAAAGATCTTCAAACGTACAAATCTCAAAGTCCACTCCAAAGGGAGATATTTCGTAAAAAAAAAAAAAAATCCCTTTTCAAGAACTACAACGAACAGCTCGTTTGGACTACAGTGTTTGTTTTCCGGGTTTTGTGATGTCACAAAGCGGCCCATTAGATTATCATTAAAATAATTCCTGCCTACGGAAATTCGAATGGCTAGGGGGTGGGGAGGGGCGAGGTCGTGGAGAGAACGCTTGGTTAGACCACGACTAAAAAGAAGTGCTGCTGTAGCCTCAAGTTTTCGCAAGTTATTACTGCAGAATTTACACATCAATTATGAGACTACAGTGTTTGAATTAAATAACAATAAAAATAATACATATGCTCTTATTTGTACATAGTGAATGCAGTTTTTTTTTAAGCGGTTGTTGACATCCTATCTAAAACGTGATTTAGGCAAAAAAAACAACAACAATAACGTTACTACTCTAATATGTCTTGCAATATCCGTGCGTGCAAAGGTTCTGCGCGATCCTCTTGTTCAATATTCTCTGGGTCTGAATCCGGCTCAAACTGATATGGCAATATTGACGCCATCCTTAACTAAACCGGAGCAGACAGAAATTGCTGCTTTGGCAAGGGGCGGGGCAGTACTGAAACACCGTCTAACTGTTCGCCAATCACAACGCACTGGGACAGCTAACCAATCACATCACATTTAGTTTTTCGGAAGGCGGACCTTCATCAAACCCGGAACTAATCAAGCTGTTTGTGCCAGGCTGGGGAGAGAGGTGTTGTAATAATGTAAATTATGTAAAAAAAATAATGCGTTTTTCGAACCACCAAGCATGAGAGCATGTTCTAGTACACCCCCAAAACAAATTAAAAACATTGTAAAAGAGCATAATAGGACCCCTTTAAATAATTGAATAATTGAATCATAATTTAAATCATCTTCTGTTGAACACAAAGAAGATATTTTGAAGAGTGTTGGTAACCAAACAGTTGACTGTAGCCATTGACTGCCACAGTATATATTTTTTGCAATTTTATGGAAATCAATGGCTATCAGCAACTGTTTGGTTACCAACACTCTTAAAATACCTTCTTTTGTGCTCAACAGAAGAAACAAACTTATATAGGTATGGAAAAACAAGAGTAAGTGATGACAGAATTTTCATTTTTGGTTGAACTCTCTCTAACTTGAATTCAATTGATAAAAGCTGCAGCAGTTATCGTGTTACGAAAATTTGATAAAATGTGCCTTATTCACAGACACTGGTCGATAACCCATTCTATTTATTTGTGCAAAATTGGAAAAATTCGGTGGCATTCTGCATTACACAGTAAATTCCATTTTTATGAGTCGATTCTGTGGTTCCATTAGCCTTTTCTGCATCGTGAAAATCATGAGCTGTAATTAAATTTCCATTCTCAATTACATTCATTGGCGTTACATTAGCCATCTCAGTTTCTAGTTCTCAGAATTGACCACTGACAAACCACTACATTCAGTCAAGTCGCTGTGCAGTTTTCAAGCAAACCTCAGATCATTGTCCAGCTTCTCATTCTAAATGTCGTCTGGAAAGTGTGACGCAGTTAGTAGCAGAGCTCAGCGTACAGTCAGTTCCTGTGTCATGTGCTGTGGTTTTGACTGTCAGGTGGTGGAGGAATATAACAGACGTGAGCGGGAGATTCAGAACATGGAGAAGGAGCTGGACGACAAGACCAACGCTCTGAGAACCTACAGACAAAACATTGCTGAGGTGCGTCTGACAAACCCCAACACCTTCATCATACAGACAGAGTTAACAGACGTGTGTGTGTGTGTGTGTGTGTGTTAGGCCAAAGAGCGCTGGCTGAATCCTCTGAAGCGGCTGGTGGAGCAGATCAGCGAGCGCTTCAGTGAATTCTTTCGCTCCATGCAGTGCGCTGGAGAGGTGGATCTGCTCTCGGAGAACGAGGTGAGGACATGGAATAGTCTCTGTGTAATAAAAAAAACATTTATTTCAGTCCAAAAGTCTCTATTTCAACATTTTGAACAATAGGGCCCTACAAACTTTTTCTTTCTTTTTTTCCTCAGAAATTCGTTTTAATTTTCCTGAAAATCAAATGAAGGCATTAAACATTTATTTTAAATCAAATGAAAATTAAACCCTTTTATTTTTTGGCAAACAAACTGAGATTTACTGTAGAAATTAATACATGGAAGAAAAATTGTGTGAATATTCCTATAAAACATTTTTAATAGGCTAATAATTGTATTATTTTTTTCTACAATTAAGTGATTAATCTGGTTGTAATTTGTTTTTATCATTTAATTGTTTTATTTAAATTTGATAGAAAATGAAATATTTAAAGATGTACATTATACTGTACAAAAGTAATACAAGAGTAATATATTCATGTTACATGTTAAACTGTACTTTTATTTTGACAGGTTGCCATGAAGTTTCTGTGTGTATACAGTATGATGATGCTAGTTTTCTCAAATGAAATGGACTCTCACAGCAGCTCTGGAGATTAAGTTTTGCGTTCATGCCGTCATATAGTGAGACGCAGAGGCCGGAAATCACCGCGAGCGTCACGCGTGCTTCAGTATTTGTGTAGTAAACAAAACCGTGTTTCCACCATTCATGCATTCAGAGGCAAGCGGAACATGCAGGATTCATATTTAAACCGTCTTTTTGCATTTTAATATTCACAGACACTAGTTCATATCGCGATTCGAATTGTGGCAGACCTACTTTTGATTTATTCGTCCAAAATTGACGTGGCATTCCACGCTATAGAGTAAATTAAGTTTTTATGAATCTACTCCACGATCCCATCCGCGTTTTCGCAGAAACCATATGGCCCTAGAAATGTAACCACACTTCAGAACATTTCGGCTTGCCCTGTGTGTTGTTTGAACGAGTTGCAGGGGTGACCTCACGTCACAGGGTCTCTCTTTCTCTCTCTGTTGCATATTCGCCCAGATGCGTTCTCAGGTACCGAAATTTTAGCACCGATTGATTTATCGTGAATCGGTACTCGGTAGTACTGACGCAATTCGGTCGGTACCCTTAAAAGTACCGAGTTCGGGACCCAACCTTAGACGTGAAGCTCTCATACACTCTCACAACATCATGTGAGGCTGCCCCGTTCTCTCAAACACAATAGCGGATCAGTATTAGTTCATATGAGACGGTTGATTTGCCGCTGTTTTCATCCAGTGGACATTGAAGGGGATTGTTTTAGTTGCTGTATTTTGTACTGCAGTTATTAGGATTGTAAGACAGTTATTGCTGAATTTCGGTTCGTTATATATGTGTAAAAGCCATCCTCTCATCTAAAGTATTGCAAAATAACATCTGCGAACACAATTTGAAGCTCCATAAGTCTGTATAAATGTGTTTCAGGAGTATGATAAGTACGGCATCCGCATCCAGGTGAAGTTTCGCAGCAGCACGGAGCTGCACGAGCTGACGCCTCACCATCAGAGCGGAGGAGAGCGCAGCGTGTCCACCATGCTGTACCTCATGGCCCTGCAGGAGCTCAACCGCTGCCCCTTCAGAGTGGTGGACGAGATCAACCAGGTGAACACACCGGACACATTCAGACCAAATTGTTCTTTCTTACAGGTGCTTCCATTTCTAGCTTGTAATAGAGCACATAATGATGTACATGTGCACCAGACTGACATGTTTGTGACCCTGGAGCACAAAACCAGTCATAAGGGTCAATTTTTCAAAATTGAGATTTATATATCATCTGAAAGCTGAATAAAAACAAGCTTTCATTGATGTATGGTTTGTTAGGATAGGGCACTATTTGGATGAGATACAACTATTTGAAAATCTGGAATCTGAGGGAGAAAAAAAATCTAAATATTGAGAAAATCGCCTTTAAAGTTGTTAAAATGAAGTTCTTAGCAATGCATATTACTAAACAAATATTACGTTTTAATATGTTTACAGTAAGAAATGTACAAAATATCTTCATGGAACATGATCTTTACTTAATATCCTAATGATTTTTGGCATAAAAGAAAAATCTATAATTTTGACCCATACAATGTATTGTTGGTTATTGCTACAAATATACCCCAGCGACTTAACACTGCTTCTGTGCTCCAGGGTCACATTTGGTCAATGAATCATCTCTCAGTGTTGTTATTTGTTCACTAAAACTAAAACAATTACAAAAATGGTTACTTGTTACTGGGGGAAAAAAAAGTCAAATTTTACTTTAGCTATTATTTCTCATTTTGATTTTCATTTATGTTCTAAAACTGTCAGAGTGGGACAAGGTGGGTCGCACAAAGTCACTGCTGCAGCTAAATGTGTGTTTCAATGACACACACACACACACACACACACACAGTTCAGTCTAGGGCTGCACCATATACCAACATTAATTACAAATTGCGATATTATTATTATTGCATTATTAATGAGAAGAAACTGCTCACTCCACTGCGCTGTATTGTGCCTGACAGTGTATGATTGCATACACTGGAAAATTCAAATGTTACCAAAAGTTCTTTATCTAAAGTACTTAATTTCTGCCATATTCAATTTTTAACTAGGATTAAGTTTACAGTAATCTCAATTGTTTTTTTATTACAAATATTTTGGTGGTTCTTGAAATAGATGATACTTGTCTGGGGGGGTCATGGAATGGAAACTGAAATAAATAAAAATGTATCAACTTTACAGACACAAAAAAACGAATTAAAATAACAACAAAATTACTAAATCTGAACCGAAATGAAAAAGAGAACAAAATATAAAAATAAAAGCTAATTCAAACTATTCGTAAGAACTGTAGAAGTACCTAAAATAACACTGGTCTCAGTCTGTCCAGTTGTTATTAACACAAACTAAAAATACCAAAATTAAAACGTACATAAATTGAAACACTTTTTAATTTAAAAGTCTATTGAAATGAACTAGAGTTACTTAAACTGTTTTAAAAACAAATGGAAACTGAATAGACAAACACACCAAAAAAACAACAAAAAACGAACATAAATATAATTCAAAATATGAATAAATACTACCTTAATGCTATCTAAATATCGTCTCAGTTAATGGTCAACTAATGTGGGTTTTTAATGGATGATGATTATGCTAATGTAATGTCACACATTTATATTGATAAAATATATCATTTAAAAAAAAAAAGTATCTGTTCGGGGGAAATAAATGAACTTCAATTCTAGTTTTAATGATGTAAAAAGAATGTATTCTGTTATTTTTTCTGTAATTCTATTTAAGTATTTTGCACAAATAAAGAAATAAAATACTAATAAATATTTTTAAAAATAAACGGATGTTTCTTGTGCATGTCAACAGAACAGCAGAAATGAATATTGTGACATGCAGACAGTCACACAGCATTCATAAATCACACGCAACATGAATGATTTTATTTAATAGCTGGACTTGCGGAATTAAATCATTAACTATGTATACATATGTTATGAAAACTGTTTTCAGTAGATAATTCTTTACTGTGTCTTGAATTTTCAGAACTGCAAAATTGCTTCTTGGTATGAAATAATTAGTCATGCATGAAGAACGTGTTTGCTGAGGTGAAGTGTTGTGTTGTTCAGGGCATGGATCCTGTCAATGAGAGACGAGTGTTTGACATCGTAGTGCGCACAGCGTGTGGTGTGAACACGTCTCAGTATTTCTTCATCACACCCAAGGTAGGTTTGCTGAATTACATTGTGTGTGTGTGTGTGTGTGTGTGTGTGTGTGAGAGAGACGTGTTCACTGATATGAGTGTCATTGTGTGTGTGTGTGTGTGTGTGTAGCTTCTACAGAACCTGAAGTACGCGGAGCAGATGACCATCCTCTGTGTGCACAACGGACCCTACATGCTGCCGCCCAACAAATGGAGCGAGAAAACCTTCATCAGATGCGCTACACGCAGACAAATCTCCTGAAGAAACTCAACTACATGAGCTCGAGTTCTTGTTGGATCACCAGTTCAGATGAGGTTAAGTGCCTTCATGTCATAAATGCATAAAAAATGTTTCCAGTTCTGATTAAACATTTTGTGTAAGGAGTTAATAAATGCAACAGTTTTTTTTTTTTTTAACAAGTCAGTGTTAATTCTCACTAAAGGAAACATCACTATTATTATTAGGGTCAGAAATGCAGTATGAGAACTGTTTTACGCAGTAATATTACATTTTATTAATGGTAATATTTCAAAAAAAATTTTTTATTGAAAATATAAGCTGAAATTTACGCAATTCATAACTGAATGTGACGAGACAAGAAGCATTTTTCCATTTTGTGTTTTCAACACAGTTGAACAAATAATACTGAATGTGTGGCTACTTTAAAATACAAATATTATATTTTTGTTGCCATCACTCCACTTGCTTGTTTGGCTATTAGTTTGTGTGATGATAATGAGGATTTTTCAGTGAGCCTTTATGCAGGTTACATGAACCGTCTTGACTTTGAGTGAAACATTGAATCATTGACTCAACTGATTTGTTCAAAAACAGATTAATTTAGGAAGGAAACACATTTACAGTGCTAGTATTACATTTATGTAAACGGCAGTAGAGTGCTGTCTTGAAAGCATTGTAATTATTAGGCTCTGTGACGATGTTTCCTTGAGTTAATTAAGAAAATGATTAGTTAAACTCTAGTAAGAGTTAATTAATCGAAGCTTGTATGATACGGCCCTCTGGTGGCCAAAAAAATGGATAGCGCCTACCCAACTAACATACAGCCTCTGGTTTCACATCCGGCCCTGAAACATTTTAAATTCATTGTACTGATTAAATTGTTTGGGTGTATTGGCGGGAAAATGAAAATTCCTTATCTCGCGTAAACTTGCCACAATCCTACTATTATTGAAAAGACGAGTGTTGCCATCATTTTTGAAAGCAGTCACGTAGTTCTCGTGATCATATCGGGTTGCCAAATCCCCACAGGTTAATTTACCAAATTATATTTGTATTGAAATACATAATCTGCCAAAATAATTCTTCCTGAGCAATTTTATCTTTTGTATTATAATTTCGGTAGTTTTGAAGGGGAAACATATCTGGCAACCCTGTGACACACTGCTAATTCACCTGTTTTTAAATTAGTTTAATCGTTACATTATTTCGCAGAAATAAATCTTATGCACAGAACGGACATCTTTATAACACCATGACAACAGCACAGTACACATTTTAATGATATCTCTGTACATAATTTTATTTACATGATACAATTTCGCAGTAATGGTGGGTAACAAGATTATATGCGCAATACATAAAATAAATAAAGCTAGTTTGTACAAACTTGCATAACTAAAAATCTAATCGGAACAGATGGTTAGTTTTACTTTGTAAACTCACAAAGCTCTAAAATAAAACAGCGCTGTGCAGCCAGACCTAAAAAAAAAAAAAAACAGACTGAGCCTCAAATGAACACGATGGCGACTAACTCACAACACTTGAGCAGGCGCAACGGGCTGATTATATGACACTAAACAATACCATTATTTCATACCAGCATTTAACACTCAATACCCACTAAAAAGATCAATCACACACGAGAAAGGTGAATTACAGAGCAAAAAGACACAGGAAAAGAAAAAAACAAGAAATGGACTTCTAGTATGCAGTCAACTGTAAAATACTAATTTCACTAACCATGCAAAACACCCGCTTTAAACCCAACAAGCCCATAAATCAAATTGGTGTCACATTACAATGAAAAAAAAATAATTTAATTCACTTAAATGGGGAAGAATGAATAAATGGTTGTGTCGTTGCCACGTCCAACCTCATCTGAACTTGACAGGGTATCATGGATGCAGTCGCTCAATTGATCATGAAGCATTCTGGTCTGGCTGCATTAAACCATCCCAATTGGATTACTTATTTTTCACAAAGTCTGTCAATGGGTTAAAAATCATTTTTAACAGTCAAATGACAGGGAAACCCCAGCATCACTCTCGACAGCTGGATAACTGCCACTGGCTGATGCTCGAGCAGAAAGATGGCTGATGAATGTCGTAAAGGCTGACTCGAGAATGGCAGGGCCAAACATTCGACCCGGAGGAAACAGAAGAGCGTCCATCTGCTACATGAGCCAGCCATGCACTGCTGCTCTGACGGCGCTCGGGTCAGAGCCGTAACAGTCTTCAGAGTCCGACCGGGAGACACATCACAGAGTAAACGAACAACAGCACGTCTTCCACTCAGAAACAGACACATTAGGCAAATGTCTCTGGCTTCACACCTTTTATAGGCATCCTTTTTTCCCCCCCCATTTGTTTTAACTTGAAGCTCATATAACAGCAAAAGAAAGATGGAAACAAAGTGATCACTCATGCATTGGCTTAGAAACAAGATTCTTTCCCATACTGTAATTTAAAAAAAAAAAAAAAAAGTCTTTCAGATCACAGGTCAAAGTGCGAGTCCTTGTAGCTGATCTCTCGCAAAGTGGAGGTGCGACGGCGAGCGCTTTATATTCTCTGAATCTTATCGGATAAATAAAAGGGGGATGCATGGTCATACTATAATATCTTAAAAATAATAGCAACTGTCAGGAGTCAGAAAGGGGCGCGATGATCAAATGCTTCACTGGTCTGACTGAGGTGAAAAATAAATAATTTTTAATAAAGTATAATATTTCCCCCCATACAAGCTAAGGACAAATAATGGTCAACTCCGAGTCACCTGTGTGTGTGTGTGTGTGTGTGTGTGTGGGGGGTGGTGTGAAAAAAATTAATTAATTTGCTAAAATGACGGAGCATTGAAACTTGCATACTAGATTTTCTGCAGTATGTACAGCACCGTGTATAGTGCAAACATTGGATTACTTAAGTGTTTCCCAAAATGTGCAGCTGATGTGCAATGTGAATATATATTAAAAAAAAAAAAGTTTGCATCCAATCTTGCATCCTTAGCAGCGTACCTTACAATGCAATGCAGTCTTCTTGAACGTTCATTTTTAACATGCGGGTATCAAGTGTTAAAAGATTTTGTAAACATAAAATTTCATGTATGAATTCTCATTTAAGAGAACTACACAGCACACGCTGAATTAGCACACTCATAATGACCTCAACAGTAGTAGTTATTCGTTTTTATTGCCATAAAATAAGGCTATTAGTTGCAATAACAAGAGTTACAGACACAAAATAAAAACCAAGCACACCGAAAAATACAGCAGTTTACAATTTTTTTTTTTTAATACATGAACAATCTTTTCTGGTGAAATTGTAACTATACAAGTCCCTGAGTATGCAGTATTAATGTACGCTCGTATGCATATGCATCTAAATATGTGCGCACATGTAAACAGTTTTAAAAATGTGCTATTCAAACAAGTTCACTTCCTTGCAGTAAAGTCAGCACTCAATTCTGAACAGTCTTGACTCTTGAGACACTTCCTCAAGTCTGAAACAGTAATACCAACCTGGTTCAGGAAGTTCTACTTTAGGCGAGACCACCTCGTCTTCACAGGAAATGCTCATCTCCGTCATCTGTTGTGTAACGGGAAGGGCAGAGGTGACGGTGGAGCCGCTAGGTGACTCCGCACTAGCAGACGAGGAGTTGTTTAGTGTAGCTTCGATGATCTGGATGGCTGAGGATTCAGAGGTAGGACTACTGGTGACACTGCTGGAAGCTGCTGGAACAGACCAAACCCCCTTCAGTTAATGAGACACTTGAGGAACAATCAATCTCACCAACGCGGCCGACGGCCCGTGAAGATGTTCAAAGAGCGGAAACACGTACCCATTGTGCTAATAGGACTGACTCCCCCGTTGTTCTGTCGTGTTAAATGCTCTTTGTAACAGACCGAGCACATGCCACTGGTCCGAGGGTTGCCATAGAAACCGCAGCCGGTGGCACAGAGCATGGGCACGGGGCTTTGATTGGTCTCCTGGGCCATCTCTCCAAAAATGAGCGATTCCTGTTGAGAACAAAACACGGGAGTCGTCAGCATAAAGCGTGAATCAAAGACGGGCTTCATTAAGAGGATTTACAGCGATACAGGTGCAATGTTGCTGCAGACGGAGAATCAGACATCTGAACGCTTTTCTTGGCATCGGGTTGGATTCGTCTGATTCAAGCCCATTCCTGCAAACTCACGCCATGGTCATGTGATTGTTTTACAACCAGACGGGGCTGGACGCATGTAGGTCAACCTGTGAGACTTCCGGGAACCTGCGGTTTGTTTCACTGTTAACCAGTAAAAGCCGTCATTAACACATTATATAGAGAGGCTACGTCAGACGAGACAGGAGAACAGTAACGTCAGTACTAAGATCATGACATAAAAACACTGCACCCATTAGCAAAAACAGTGTGATTCGCAGCACCAAAAGTTGTCTACAAGCTGTAAACAAGACCATTATCTGACAAGCACACATTCTTCTGAATGACTCCAATCTAAGATCATAGGCGTGTCTGATAGTTCTGTCATGTGAAAATATATATAAAAAAACTCAAATGTTAGGGTTACACTTTAGTTTAGGGAGCAATTCTCACCATTGACTAGTTGCTTATTAGCATGCCTATTATAAACATATTGCCAGTTTATTAGTACTTAGAAAGCACATATTCTGCATCCCCAATCTTACCCAATACACAAACTACCTTACTAATTATTAGAGCTGGGTTTTGACAATTTTCATGAGTCGATTCTCATTCACAAGATTGCGATTCGATTACCGATTCGATTCAATTTAGATTTTGGATATCAGGTACAGTACATGCCAAATTTAAGGAAAAAAATAAAATAAATCAACTAATGCAGTGAAATATACACGAGTCAGTTGGTACTACATTAACAAATCAATTTTAACCGTCAATATTATAGTAATTACACTTAATGAAGTTTTTAAAATAAAAGTTAATTACATAATTTTTAAAAAATATAAACAATGGTGGCTGTCATAACTTGATGGATTTATTCAAACATTAAAGAACAGTAAAATTTATAATGAATTTTATATGGTGCATATATTTAGCAAAATGCCCCTCTCTACGGTTTATTCTTCTATCTCACTAATGAGTTTATGGTCACCGAATATGTTTTTCTGAGGTAAATGTGACGTTACGTGACATTGTTTACAAGCCGTTATATTGATGTCTTTGCGCGGCTGAACACTGATTGAGCGATTACATGAGACGGGATACAGATTGTAAAGTTGTACTTGTTCTTTTAACTCGCCTTCGGATGTTTAGTCATGTTTATTTTGTGCTGAAACTGGTATTAATGTGGAGGAGAGGAGTAGTTCATGTGCGCCTCGCACTGTTAAACTGAGGCACTACAGCGATCTGTCACGCCACAAACAGCGCCAAAACGGCATTTGTTTGAATACGGCAATACAATGGCCAGAATTTGAAATCTGAGACTGTTTCATATTAAAAGTATCCAAGCACAATGCTCATTAGGCCCTTTCACACCGCTTTAGTTCCAGAACTAAACGTACGGTACTAAAGTACTGGGACGATTTTGCGCGAACTATTTTCCAGTACTATTTAAAGGGTTGCATTCGCACAGAGTGTGTACTAAGTAGTGACGTAAGCCGGTCGACAGCGTCGTCATTTGTGCGTGGCGTTCAACAACAGAAACAAAGAAAAACAACATTAACAACAGGAGGATGGAGGACGCTGTGATCGCAGCTGTGTGTTTGTTGTGTCTCTCACAATAATGGACATTGAAAGTCGACGTATACGTAAAGCGACTGAAAGAACGGAAAGGAGGACTAAGAATCTCCAACGACAACTGACAGTGCTACATTTGCTACAAGTGCCTGCACTTCAGCATCCATCCATCTATCGCTGTTCTCCATACTTGTGAAATAAGTTGACA